TGGGCTTGGGTTCTGAGGTTGCATTTTGTTCCTTCTCGTCATTTTGTGTAGCACTGTCTTCTGCCTTTTGTTATAGATCTTTGCTGTAGTTATAACCTTCACACGTACTGAAGTTCAGGTGGAGCTCTACAGAGTTTGGACTTATCCAGCTGTGTCTGGCTTAGGTCTGGCTGCTGTGCTCAGCTCCTTCCCGCTGCGGTCCTGGGCTAGGACTGGGTCTGGGGGTTCCCGGAACTTGGCAGAAATTCCTACTTGGTGGGAGGGGTGGGGGAGGTATGGCAGAGTGGTGGTGGGCAGCCCAAGGGGGTGGGAGAGGATCCGGCCCACGGTGCGCCTGGGCTGGGACTGATCCCGCCAGTGCAGAGTAGCAGGAAGCTCTCCACACACTCACAGGACCTGGGGTAGGACTGGGTCTGGGGGTTCCCGGAAGTCAGCAGAAATTCCTACTGGGCGGGAGGGGTGGGGGAGGTACGGCGGAGTGGTGGGGGGCGGCCCGAGGGGGTGGGAGAGGGTCCGGCCCACGGTGCACCTGGGCTGGGACTGTTCCCGCCGGCACAGGTTAGCAGGAAGCTCTCCACACACTCACAGGACCTGGGCTAGGACTGGGTCTGGGGGTTCCCGGAAGTCGAAAAAGAAGCAGACTTTAGAAGACATTTTGCTTTAGCTGGAACTGAGATACTGAAATATATATTCAGGTTGATTGCTAATCAAAATGATACTGAGACTTATTTTTTTTTACAAATGTAATATATATCATTCATATATAAGACTTAAAAAGGTATTTTACTAGTTAAAACAGATCCCCAAGGATAGATAAAATTCTGTTGGCATAAAAACAAAAGGTTCTAAAGACACTGACTACACAGTGTCCAATAGTTTTGGGCCTATAAATAGAGCCAGGTCTTGTATTTGTGACACAAAACTCAGATCCACAGTGTTAAAAGATGAAATCCCTGTGTAGTGCCCCGTGCTTACAATGGGGGCCACATCCAAAACACTGAATGAGACACTAGTTTAATCTGACTGAATGCTTTGTATTTCATGATGAGTATGTAAGCCTGGTTGATTTCTAATGTAACTGTGGTATTTTATGCTCATAGTTAATACAGGTGTGACCTCTCTCAACTAAAGCTAGAGGGACTTATAGCAAACTATCAGACTCTATAAAGGGGTCTAAAGCCAATGGGTTACAATTGCTATTTCTTTAAAAAATGTTTCTAACTTACCTGTTAGCTTGAATGCTCATGCTTTGATTATACATGCTCTAATTTCTCAGAAAATTTATTTCTTAGAAGATACCAAAACTCAGATAATCATACAGGTAAAATCTATAGCAAATATATTTGATTACTTTTAGATTGCTTTTACTGAGATCCACCAGATTTTGTCTATAGAGACATAGTAAGGCCTTAACTAACCACCTCATAAGCCCACGTGAGTTGAGGCTTCTCAGGGTTTCCTGCCTCATTACAAGGGAAGCTATCTTCATGTTCGTTGGGCAGGGCTGATTGCCCTCAAAGACGCTTCCTCTATCAGTCTAATCCTATGTCAGGAAATCCCCTACAGGGGAAATTGCTCTCTCATTCCTTGAGCAAGGCTGCCTTCAGGAGGCCGTAAAACCAAAAAGTCATATCTTGCTCAGTGGACCCCAGGTGCTTGACACAAGCTGCAGAAGTTAGAAAGGTTTGCAGTAATGAATTTATCTGAGTTGAGTTTTTTCATAGTAGAAAGGATACAGAATGCAGTTATAGACAAAAAATGAAAATGGTGATACTAACAGCTTATAGGAATGAAGGCCAGTCAGGAAATGGGGAAAAAGTGATGTTTCCTTGGATCCAAACAGAGAGAAGGGACATTTCAAGCAAAATGTCCAAAGCTGTTAGAGAGGGAAAAAAGAAAGTGTTCATGATGGAGTCAGAGGAAATTTTGGATTGAAATGGTCATGGGTCTTACCCTCTCAGACTGAGGGAACCCATGTTAACTGCCAATATAAGGAGGAAGCCTATCAAACTAGATGCTCATGCAGATGTGTCAGTAGTTACCCAGCCAGTGGCCCTACTTGCAAAGTGGAGAATACTCAGTGTTTCCCTAGGTCCTGTAGTTCATGTGCCCCCAGTAATAAGAGTTGGCCAGTTTATTTGGGACAATACCCAGTGACCATGGAAGATAAAAAGGATTAAACCCCACATTTAAGAGATACCTGCTAATGGACCTACAAAATGTTCCGACTAGTCTTTTTATAATTACAAAGTATAAATACATTCCAGATCCTTCTACTAAATGTCTTAATAGCTGTTCAAAATATTAGATATCAAATCAATGGTGTGTAAAATGCTGAGGTCCCCTGGACCCTATCTTTATTACTGTTATGAGAAGTCATTACTGTCTACTTGGTGAAAATCATTTTTTACTATATTCATAATTAACCTGTTGATGCTATTATTTGGCCCACACATGTTTAACTATTTCTTTAGCTTTGTCTCCTCCAGACTTAAAAGGTTATTCTGCCTACCCAAGATAAAAATGCCTGGTGTCTATTGATGGCCTTCAGGTAGAACCTCTGGAGAATATCTCTGACTGCCAGTTCACAACTATGATCCCTTTCAGCCTGAAGAAGCCAGAGCGGTCATCGCCCATGGTTCCCTCATGGCAGTTCGGGTTACTTCTTCACATGGGGGATTGTTGTGGGCAGCTGAATTAGATAAAAATATTATAGGCAGTGAGACAGGGTCAGGCTCTCAAGGAGACAAGATGGAAGACAAGGTGACTTTACAACTTGGAAGAGACAGACATTCCCATATGGGCCACATCTCAAGACAAAAGCAGAAACAAATTTAGCCACATGCTTCCCTAGGGATGGGCATCAGGCATTGATATTCTAAATAGGTATCAATCACCTTGAAAGAGCCCAAATGAGTCACTAACCCAACCCCCAGACAGGAAGAGACCCTGCACTATAGTCACGCCTGCTTGCTATGGGACTAGCTTTCCCATTTGGTACTGGATTTACTCAATTTTACCTGGGCAATAGTGCTTGTCATATTATTGATTGACTATAGTTTTGTCCCATCTCATGCCCACCTAAGGAGTTCACATGTTTTCCACCACCTTAGACCCGCCTCACCACATGGTTTTCCTATATAAACATCCCCAGAAGACACAGCTTCCTGGGGACTACCTGCTCTGGTGTCCCCCTCCTGTCCCTCTCTAGGACAAGAGCTTTCTTTTCCCCAACAAATATATTCTGCTCATAAAAAATAAATAAATACATAAATTTCAGATGAAGATAAAACCAAGGAAGCACTTTTTTTTTTTTGCATGAACTCTTAAAAAAACAACAAAAAGAATTGATTGTAGTATTACTTATTTTATTACTTAGTGTTTAAAATCACAAGCTCTGAGGCTGGGTTTCATAGCTTTATGTCCTGTTTCTCACTTAGCAGCCTTGTTACTGAGCAAAAAGTCATTTGCTGAAGGCACTGCCACGTCAGCTATTTAGTTCTATGTCACCGAGGTGTGTGAGTGACAAATGCACACCTGATCCAGTTCACCACGTGGTAAGCGCTCAGTAGGTGTCATCTGTTACAGCTTTTATTGATCTATTATTGATCAAAGCAAAGAATAGGAAGTGCAATGAAAACTAAATAGAACGGATGGGTAATATAGAAAAAAATGGGGCTGCTCCCCTTACTTTGTTCTAAAAACAGCCTTTGCTTTCTGAAGGAAATATGGCAGCAGTCTTGGATATTTTTTTTTCTTAAGCTTTTTAATGAAAATATCCTTTTAGAAAGCATGCTTTAAACTATTTTGGAGATTTCTGGGAATGCATAGCTCAGTCTGGGAATAAACTCATTTTATAGCTGATGTAAATGGGAATATTGATCTGAACTACACGGAGAGAGTGACCTAGAAGTGAACTGCTGTAAATCACAGTCCAACCCTCCAGACCTGTGAGTTGCCTCCTGCAGAATCACAGCCCATAAATACCTGAAGCAGTACTTTGGGTTTAAAGTGTTCAGCGTAACTCCAGTCCACAAGGCTGCGCTGCTGTGTGCTCTTTATGTCCTCTAAATTTGCTTCCACCATCGTCTTCTTGGGTTTCTAAAAAAATCACAGAAACCCAATTTCAGCTATAATTTGTTTCAGTCCGAATGAAGCCCTCTTGGACTCTGACAACCAACCAGCGTGCACTCCATCTAATTGGGGAAATCTGCATATGTATGTATCCATATGGCAATATTTTAGGAGAGCCGCTGCCAGAAAGAGTATGCCTTTGACTTTTTTTTTATGGGCAACATAATCTAAATATTTTTATTGTTAGGTTATACTCTTCAGAGTCCTGCTAGCAATTATAGGCAGGTTTTCTGAACTCACTTCAAGACAGCATTAGTTCTACATGGCGGTATGGTCAGCAGGTGTTTGTGAGGTTGCCAAGCCACACTGTCTAGAGAGGCGCACAGAGCTGGGAAGTTTTGTTTAAGTTGGCTGGGAAGGTTAACCCCTTTCTCTCCAGCTGAAGCTGGTCTAGGAAGGTCTGAGTGGGCGCTCTCCTTTAGTGCCAGCGTTTTTCTTTTAAGCTTCTCTCAGGAGTGCTCTCCCCCTCCTCTCTCTCTGTCTCTTTTGAATGCTTCTCAATCTGGGTCATGGTTTTCTCAGATCATCTGACTCGTCATCTACACTTTTAAGCAAATAATTCCTTACCTTTTCAAGAGAATCAGCCTTTGTGACTGCTTTATCTTTGATCTCATTGTTCGTGGTTGGATCTGTAAATCAAAGACACCAACATCCAGTTGTGTTCGGGCTTTGTTCTTGCTTTTGGTCAGCGCTGGGCCCTTTTGCTGCCCAGATGATCTATGTGCCTGTGCTGAAAGGGTCATTCCTGGAAGGCATGTTTCATGCCTTCAAAAAAGGTGTTTGTGTCAATAACTCTAAATCCATACCGACCTAGGAAAGTTATACTTCACTCTTTGAAAAGAACTCAGCTTCTTATCTGATGCACACTAAATCATATCAGAGAGTTTGCTTCCAGGCTCTATGTTACTCTGGTCTAACAAAGTACATTTTCTTTACAGACTGAAAATAATTACTGATTAAACAATGGATCTGTGCATATCATTTGCTTCGTGCTGGTGATCATCATGGAGCCTTTTCTGAGATTTTCCTGGTGGATGACAGACTGGGGCAGGGGCACAGAGGTCTGGGAAGGAGAGCAACTGAATAAATGGCACCATCTACTACAAAATCATGCTATTTTGCCCTTCTACAAGAGCTCTTTTTCCATTCATCACTGATTTGTTAATTACAAACTATTCAATGAGCACCTGAAGATTTAAGTGAATGAATGAACTGAACCTCTATCTAGCACTGTGTGACAGCCCAGTTTAAGTCATGCAGATCATCCTTCCTGTGGCCCAAGAGGAGAGTGTATCTATGTGATGACTGGGGTTGTAATTTGTTGGCTGCAGAGCACAGAACCATCTGAATGGACTGTAAGGCAACAGATTCATACTGTTCCATCCTGTATCACCAGAAAAATACTGACTTTTTTGGAAACACACTTTCATAATGCTGATGAGTGGAGACCATGTGACTTTTTACCATTAGAATAATTGGAAGTTGGATTCTATGAAGTTGTTTGCAAAGCGGCTTCAGTCCTACTGCTCAAATGCACCTCAGTCTCATCTCCGGATCTGCCCACTTTAGGCAGGCCGCCTGATTTTGTTACTGTCTTTGGGGTTTCATACGTTTGCCTTCTCTGTTATGCTCTACTTTTGACATTTACCTGTTACAAACCCTCGAGGAAGCTTTGCTGCCTCTTACTCTGCATTACGGTCAGCCATAGCATTTAGCAGTGCCTGATTGTGTACTTGAAAAGACCATAATATTATCATTTATTGGAAGAGGGAGAAAAAGCAAGTTTATTTGTTTATGGTTTTATCTATTTTGTTTTGTTTTCCTCACTGCATGATGAGTACCACCATCTTGCAGGAATTGAGTAAACTCTTTTGTTTTGGTTGAATGAAAGAAATCTGCAGAATGTATTGAAACTAGAAATACACACTGAGGAAGAGCCTGAGAGCGGGAGAAAAAGGTGAAAGACAGAGGACATGAAGATGAAAATATGTAACTAAGCCTTGTTATAAGGCAAGGACAAGATCTAACTTTTTCATTCTGTGGTGAAAGGAACCATCCGTGAACTTCCATATATGATTAGACCACATATGAGTAATTGATTATACCTGCCAAGGATAGGCCAAGGCTTTCCTTCTTAAAGAAACACAATTGCTTACATTTTTCCCTCTGGTTCTATCTTGACTTGGGATGATGCGGGTGACAGCGCAATGTTCCATTCTGACTGAGAGGAAAACTATAACCCCAATTTTAGTTCGACATTTATGAGTATATCCACTCAAGAGACAACTCAGGCCAACTATAGCTCTAAATAGACCATGGTGTCCCCTGTGTCCTTGAAGCAACTGATAGGAAATCTGTGGACTAAAAATTATTCTATTCTGTAGTCTGCCAGATTTCCTAGAGATTTGATATTCCCTCCTGTGTCTAAGAATCCAGCAGAAAAAGTCTCCAGTTTAAAAAATGTGTTCTAAAAAATTATGCATCTGTTATTTTGTCAAATGAAAGGACATCCTAATGTTAATCTGAACTCTTAACAGAAGACTAAAAATCACTTTTTTTTTTCTTTCTGTCTGATTTGTGCCTTCAACCACATAATCTTTTTTTTTTTTTTTTTTTTTTTTTTCCACATAATCTTTTGACAGTGTGATTCAGTAGTTTTTGACACATCTGGAAGTGGATGCTTTCCCATCTCTTTGAAAAACAGCTTTTCTAATCTGTTTTACTTTAGAGATAACAAGATCCCTCTGCAAAACAGTTACTTTATTAAAAAAACACCCAACAAGCAGAAAGGGCACATCGAAACCTACAGCCTCATGGTCATCAACTCGCAGGTTTTTCATAAATATCCGATAGGCCCTGTCAAGTTCAAAAACAGTCTCAGATGGAAATTCAGTGCTTGGCTAAGAAAAGCACGAATGTTCATCCCTTCATGTCCAGCAACAGTCATATAAATATATTTGATGGTAACATGGCTGTGCAGGAAATAACACGAATGATTTGTACTGTGTGTAAAGAGAATTAAAGTGGCTGCTTTTGAAGTTAGAGTTAGCGAAAACATGCAGGACCAATAACAACAAAGCCCTCATACACAGAACGGCCCCAGGGAAACACGAAGGCCGGGCTCTGAACCTGTACATGGATACAATGGCATTTTTCATCTCTGAGGACTGAGAATCTAGGAAATAAATATGAGGTTATAGAATCCACGATCCAGAACGTCAATTTATGTGTTTGACCACCAGGTGGCAAAAGTAGCCTGAAGAAAACTCCACACCAGCGCTTGAAAGAAAAACAAACAGAATGAAACAAAACAAAACAAAAAGGGTCCTGAGACCTCACCTCTCTCTCTCAGCTTATCCTGGCTCCATATTTACTCAATGGGACGTCTTTGCCATGTATTTGTACCCCCCGCAGGATGCACTAGCGCCTCAACCGTGTAACAAATCAGATTAATTTATTTTGTTTAATTTCGGGTTGGTAGGCTGGGCTAAGAGATAAGTGTACCCTGGGCAGAGAAATATGGAATATACCGTGTTAGAAAGGAAGAGACACTACAAAACGGTCTTTTATTTATATCTCCCTTTAAGCGCCACAAAATTAGGATAAGAATGAGCCTAAGGAAAGAACTGTGGATAGGGCCAAATCATTGGATGCATCAGAATGAATTTTTGTAATGGAGGGAGCCACAAGACATAATGGAGGAAGATTTGTTTGGAATTAGGTAGCCCTCCTACCCCAGCTTCCTGCTGATTCTCACTGAACTTGTCACACAGCCTCTCTTTGTCTTGGTTTCCTTATCTGCAGAATTGAGAAAATAGGCTCTTCCCTATAGGCTTGATCTGAATAGGAAGTAGTGATTAATATGCATAAAATACTTCGGCATAATGTTTTAGAGTAGGGCAATTATTGAATGGATGCTACTTTTTTCTCATTTTGGTCTCACTCATTTATTGACTCCATTAGGGGCAGACAGCTGCTTCCTAGTTCTATTCCATTGGTTACCTCTTCTGCTCATTGAAATTAAAGTAGCTGGGTTACTATTAGTGGATATCCCCTTGTCTCTTACTTCTTAAGTGATGCTTATGACTTACTTTTTGAAGTGCTTTTTAAAATTATGAAAAGAAACAAATATACGACAACGATGTCTGTTATCACAAATAATTATAAATAAAAATCTCAGCACCTCACACATCTGTTTGAGTGCATTCTGCAACAACCACCTCACCAGTAAGGAACTCAATAAACCTGCTTGTGAAGCTTTGATATAATTCCAATATTTATTGTGGATTGTTTTGGGTTTTACGCCTACACAATAATTATAAATAATGAAAGTATTTTTCAAAGATGATAATTTATTCCTCTTCTTGCTTCATATTGGGCCCCCAATGTACTATTGAATCTAAATAATATTTACTTAGGGTGGACATCCTCTTTATTGCAAAAGGGGGTTGTACAGCTCTTTGTCGTGGTACATAATACATGTGTCATAATTTTTAGAAATATTATAAAATTGAGAAGTTTTCCTTCTCTTGTTAGTTCGCTAATTTTTTTTCTCATAAATTGCTATGGAAATTTAAGTGTTTTAACGGCATCTATCAAATTAATGTGTTAGTTTACAAATCACATTGAGTTTTTGCATTGTATATACTTTCCTTCTGTCATTGCTATACATGTTACTCCCTTGTGAGACTCTATGGTCTAATATGTTGCAAGATCCATTTTCTTACATCTTATTTAGGATTTTTGCATCTCCATTAATGAGTTTATGTTACAACTTGTTGCAATGTCCTTACAGTTTTTATGATAAAGCTTATGCTGGCTACATAAAATAACTAGGGGACAATAGCTACTTCTTAGAATATTTTATGTTAATATTAGAATCGTTTTTTTTTTTTTTTTTTTCACTGTTTGGTATCACTTGCCGAAGAGATCATTTGGGCTTAGTATGTCCTATTTGGGATGATTTTTGACTAATAAAGTAATTTATTTGATTCATTATATGATCATTCAGGTTTTCTATTTCTTCTTTGATCATCGTGGGTAACTTATATTTTTCCAGTAATTTGTCCTATTACATTTCAAATTTAGTGGAATAAAATTAGTTATACACCACTTTGTTTTCTTAATTTCTGTATGATCTATATAAATTCCTGTTACTCTACACTTAATGTGATTTTTTACTTCTAATATGACTTTATTTCTTATATGGTTGTGTGTGTCTTCTCTTTGCTGTTTAGCCTTGTCTAAAACATTTATTAATTTTATTAGTCTTTTGAAATCAACAAACTTTTATATTTTTTGTTCTTCCTTTTATAGCTTTATTTCTCTTTTTTCTTGATTTCATTCTTGTATTTTATTTGGCTTTACTTTGTTCATCTTCCTCTAACTTGAGGTTATTATTATTTTTTTTTAATTTTTGTATTTTAGGGAAGGTCTACAGGGTTTCAGGGTCTCACTACTGGATCAGACTCATAGTGATATGCCAGGCATATCAAGAGCTGGGATTACAGATGTGTGCCACCATACCCAGTTTTAATGGATGTCTCAGTGTGCCCTGGTTGCAGGGCTGGCACAGCAGACCTGGGAATTGAACCCCTGGCCCCTGTGCCTGCTTGCAGGCACTTTAATCCACTGAGCTATTTGGCCAGCCCTTGAGGTTACTATTTTTAGGCTTCTAAAATATATATTTTAGAATTAATTTTTAGGCTTCTTTAAAATATATGTTTATATTTTAAAAATTATATTCAATTAAATTTAATTTTTATTGTTCAAAAGTATATTTAAGCTTTCAAACTTCTCTTGAATTTATCTTGCTTTAGCTGAACTCTACAAGTATTTAAAAAAAATCATTCATTTATTTATTTGACAGGGTCTTCCTGTGCAGTGGACTCATAGTGATCCTCCTGTCTCAGCCTCCCCAGGACTGGGATTATAGGTGTGTGCCACCATGCCCAGTTTCAGTGGCCTGCTTGGCATGGGACCAGCATGGTATGTGGTACCAGGGATCAAACCTGGGTTCTTGCGCTTCTCAGGCAGGCACTTAGACTACTGAGTTATCTCCCTGCCCCTCTACAAGATTTAATGCATAAGATTTTTATTTAATTTCAAATATTTCCTAGTTTCTACTGTAACTTTTTCTTGATGTAGGTGTTATATACGAGTGATTTGCTAGGTTGTTAGACATTTGGTGATTTTCTTATTATCTTTTTGCAATTGATTTCCTCCATATCTTCCCTGTTAGGTGAAAGCATATTCTACATAGTTTACTTTTCTGAAAGTTCATTGAGATTTACTTTATGATCTGTACATAATTAATATTTCTCAAATAAACATACTTATGATGTCTAAACAGCTACAAAATTAGTGGCTTTAGTATACATTTATGCCTGAATAGTATGACATGATAACTAATGCCATAAAGAGAATGTAGATTAATTATGGCCAATAGAATGCTAAAAACATTTCCTAATTTTAATTTTTATTATATAAGGATTGCATTCATCATGGTGTTGGTACATATGTGTAACATGTTTTAATTTTCTTTCCAAGCCCCTGCTCTTCTCCTACTCTGCTCCATCTCCATCTCTTAGTCCTGTGCCCTTTAGGGGGGCTTTCCATATGGACACATCTAACAAGGGCTCAAGGAAGTCCCATGACTGAAAGAGAACTCTAAGTGCAACATATCGTAGGTGAAAAGGCATAGAGAATAAAAATGGCAGGTTTTGCAGAGGAAGTAGCCCCAGACTATAAGGTTGATCAAAATACACATTGATCAATTAAAAAAGTTACTGCAGTAAGGAACTCATTGCCCTGAATTCCTCTCAGAATAATCTCCTTCACTTTAAACACACTTGTCATTCTTGCCACCCTCTGAAGTAGTTTTGGATATCTTCTTTCATGATTGTCTTTAAAAAGTGTGATTTAAAAAAAAATACAGTGAATGCTGTAGTAAAGTGCTAGCCAATGAAAAGTCAGGTTTGTAAAAGACTTATAGCATAGCCTCACAGAACTCACGCACCAGGTCTGGAACCACATGGCTTCTGGTTCTTCCTCAGGACAAAGTGACTATGGGAGCTAAACATTTTGAATGAATTCAGGCCATCAAGACATCCGCAGCAGGTAGCAGAGTTGTTTATCCTGCAGAAATGATCACTAAAACTCAGGAAGTAGACCTGGGCAATGGGCTCCCAGAGAAAAAGAACAAGAAGGAGGAGAAGGTAGTCAAAGAACCAGAGACTCAATGTACAGTTGCAAAGGAAGGGAATTATTTTGCTGATAATTCTCCCGTGAAGGCCACATCCCCTTCTAGGACTCTGAGCCAAGATCAGACATCCCATATGCCCTTGTGAAGAAAAAGACAGGCCACAGCACTTATTATGAAGAACTCCCAGAATCTGAGGCCACGTCACAAGCCAACCAGACAGAGAAGTCACCCAGCCCCAGGAAGCATGCCTTTGATTACTCAGAGTCCTTCAGTGGAGAGAAAAAGAAGAGGAGGACCTTGCCTTTGGCCACATCAGAGGGCTCAGAGGTAAAGACCTCCCCCGACCCCAGTCTGGGTGAGGAGGCAACCAGAGTTGAAAAGAAGCCCAAAAAACACAATAAGGAAAGAAAGGACCAGGATACCATGGCCTGCTCTGACCAGGACCTTGGCTTTGTGAGGCAGGTGATGCTACTTATGAATGCAGGGTGGAGAATGGGGCTGAGAAGCAGGCAGCCTTGGGGCCAAAAGGGAAGCAGGGCAGCTCCAGAGAACACAGCAGGAAAATGAAGAAGAAAGTCCACCAGGAAGAAGACACTTTCCCAGGCCACTCTGAGCTCTCCAGGTTCATGGAGACCAACCCTCGGAAAGGAAAGAAGAAGAAGCCAGTCCGAATTGAGGTTCTAGAGTACATCTCACTAGGAGATCACCCTCAAGCCACAATGAAGAAGAAAACAAAGGCTAAGAAAGGAAGAAAAGCCAGTTGTTGAGCTGGCTCAGAAAAGGAAGAAAAAGAAGAAGAGAGAGCATGGTAACAGTAGACTCTTGGAAGGAGCCAGACACAGACCTGGAGGTGGTGATGGAGAAGAAAGGCAACATGGATGAGGAGCACATAGATCAGGTGGGGCAAAAGGCCTTGCAAGAAGAAACTGATTGGGAGTCAGGCAAGAAGGAAGCACCCAGGAAGTGGACAGGAACCCAGTTTGACCAGTGGGATACTGCAGATTTTGAAAACAAGGAACAGAAACTGAAATTTTTCAAACTTATAGGTGGCTTTAAGAGTCTGTCCCCTTTGGTCAGCTGCTCCCCTTGTATGACTGTAAGTCCCAACATGGCCCTCAGCAAGGTGGCAGCCAAAACCCTGCAGCAGAAGTTACAGCAGGCCTACGACCAGGCCATGAGTTGGAATTACAATGAGGGTGCTGGACTTGGCTTCCCTGCCACCCCCAACAGAATCTTCTACATAGACAAGAATGTGTCTAAGTCTGTCAGGCTGGAAGATTAAATGCTAATGTCTTCTACCCAAACTGCTCAGATGGCTTTTCTCAGTTTTGCAGATGAGAGCCACCTAGCAGCTGTCCACGATGGAACACCTGTGATACCTGTGGACACCTGTGGACAAACTGGGCAGCTCACGTCCTGGGGGTTCACACACATTTTTTTCTGCTAAAATTTCCACCCCAGTGGTGACATGGGCATGTGAATAATGGTAGCTGACAACTGGCATTTGTTGGGGGTATAGTGTGGCACAGGCATCTACTGTTTTTTTCTTGCATTAATGTATTTAGTCATCATTATGAAGTAGGCGCTATTCAGGAGGCAACTGAGGTTTAGGGAATGAGTAATAAAATTGCCTAGGCTCACCCACTGTTGGTTGCCATGTGTTACAAGGTTGTACCCTAAGCCCTAAGTCACTAATCATTGTGAAAGTTTCTTCTAGGAACTTTCACCCAGAGTACTAGTTGGAGATTAAATGATGGGGGAGGGGAAGACATCCACAACAGTTCAACTAAAGATACTCACAAAAAGCACTTCAAGAACTGCTTTGTAAAGAGGCAAGAATGATGAGATAAGTGCTCTTGAAGCAAAGGGAAATATTTTGAGGAGGAATAATGGCAATGTATCTTTTGCTATAATAATTTATTTAATTTAAGTATTTGCTGTAGTTTTTAATCACATATATGTCTGGATAGAGCACAGAATGGGTGAACAGAGGGAAAAGGCTGGCAGTGCTGGATAAGCCTACAGAGAAGGCCAAGGAGCTGAACTGTGTTTTGTAGGGAGTAGCAAGCCATTGAAAGATATCAGTAAGAAAGGAAAGAGCTATATTTCAGGGGATTAATCTGGCAGTTTGGGGTAAGGTAGCTTAATACAAGTTTAGCCTAATATGTTTCTCTACTTCCGTACTGCCTACCAGCACACTATTTAAAATGCTGTACTCTAGAATAAAGGTAATACCTGGGAAAAAAGAGGAAAAGGAAGGGAAGGCATGTACAGTGAGCACTGGTTTTATATTAAGCTCTACTAAGCTCTACACGTGGCATTTCATCATGTCATTACAGGCATGCATATTACAATCCTCCTGCACACCCTGGAAGGCTGAGGCAGGAGGATTGGAATTTCCAGCTGAGCCTGGGAAACAGTAAAACATTGTCACAAGATTAAAAAATAAAATAGAGGGCTAAGGACATAGCTTAGTGGGAAGGTCTTGAGTTCAATCTCCAGCAACCCACACACAGACAAACACAAATCTTAGCACACAATCGTGATAACCCTATGGAATATTATGGTGAAAGTTTTAATGATGTCCACTGCACTACATTTACTAAAGAGTGGGCTGAGAGACACTAAGATGTCTTGGAAAAACCAGGTTTGAATAAGGAAGACTCACCGAATAACAGACCTCGGTAAAAAGTTTAAATAACTAAGTAAACTAGATGTTATATTTAGTTCCAGTTAAAAGAAACAGAGACCTAAATTTAACACATTTTGAAACTTCTGTCTCTTGTGCATGCATTTTATGAGAGTCTACGTACATACCTTTACTACTTCTCAAGGGCTTGGGTTGGGGTTGAGTCTGCACGCTGCCTTCCTTTTCTAAGAGTTCTCTGTTATCAGAGTCTAAGTGTCTTGTACTGCCTGAGTCAGAATGCCTCACGTCCACAGCATCAGACAGATTGCACTTTGAAGCATCTCCACTGAGTTCATCATCTAGCACTGATTCCGGCCAGTTTGGATCCACATATATAGTTCTGTCTTTGAGTTTGGTCTCTAGCCAAGATAAAGAATATTCATTGGATATAATACTAGAACAATTAACAATCATAAAATATAAGAATGGTTTGCGTTCCTTCCAGGCAGTGTACCTGTTTTCTCACTGGCCTCTGAGGTATTCATTTTCAGGATGTGCTGCTGCCTTATCTGCTTAGCAAATCTGGCAGGGTCGTCCCACGGTATATAGAACTTCTCAGAATCTGTCCCAGACATCATTCCAGAAGGCTTTAGTTTCCCAGCTTGGTTCACTTCAGAGAGCTTCAGGCTTTCAAAAGTAAACAGTTTGAAGGCTCGTTCTACTTCATTCCAGCTCAAGTGTTCTGCAAGAAGAGAGGACCTGTGTCTGGAAATACCCTTGTATTGATTTATGGGACAGGCTGGCAGAGGAGAAGCCAAGTCTAGGATGGCAAAGGAGTTGCACCATGACGGTGATAACCTGATTTTAAGTGTGCCCTTCTTAAGTCTGAAACACATATCAAAGGCATCTGATCATAAGAAAACTACACAGTCAAGATAGAGTTGATCAAATTAATGCTTCCAAACTGCTTCACAGCTTAATGAATATTAAGCATTCTTGTTTATTGACATAGACATTTTAGGGAACCATATTGGTTATATATTAAGCCCGAGAAATTGTTCAGATGGGCCTAATATAGGGTGTCATATTCAGTAGGTTTTCCTGTTCATTCAGGTTTAGGAATGATGCCCTGCTCTCCAACACCTGAACTGCTACTTTTTATAACTGCTCTAACGTTACCAGCTTCCACTTGGCTCTATTCAGTTGTGTATTTATTGTTTATAGCACAAGTTTATCCATTCGCTTATGGCCCATTCTGTGAATGAGGATTAGCTTTTGTCACAGGTTCCAATGATTAAAAGCACAACAAAGTTTTGTTTTTGCATTTTTAAAATTTAAGACAAGGGGGAAAGAGGTAGGGATTTAAAAATGAATGCGGGGGCCAGTGAGATAGCTCAGTGGTCTAAAGCATCTGCTTAGGCAAACTTAGGCAAGTGCAGGGACCACGGTTCGATCCTTGGTATCACATGCTGCTCCAGCTCCACCCTCAGGGTGGACTGAGCTGGCCACAATAAATAAAATAAAATAAATGCAGGATGGGACAGCAAGACAGGGAAGAAGGTTGGAGATGGGGTCCCCTGGTTCCCAGGTACAGCTGTGTATACTCACGGGTGTTCTCGGTACCCACTGTGGTATTACTTATTTGGGTACTGTGTGTGCATATGTACCTCTCCTTCTTGATGTCCCAGTGACCTGTGATTCTGCCAAAGCCACCATTTCTTGTGTAGGTGTGTGAGCATGGGTCACAGAGGGATACATTTAATGCCTTGGTGCATTCTCCACCTTGTGACCCCTTTACTTAGTTATAGTAAAGAGAACTGAGTGTGAAAACAACTCCAAATAAAGTAATCAATGAATAAAAATAAAATTATGAGATAGGTTAATAATTCAGAAATTGCCTTCTTTTTCTGTCCAACAGAGATGAGGAGAGCAGCAGGGGTCATTCTGGAAATCACAGCGATGACTCAGAAGAGAGGCAAGGAAGGAGTAAAAAAGTACTGAATAAGGGAGAGTTTGCTTATCTGTTACTTCACAGAAATTTTCTGAGTGCTCACTAGCTGTCAGTGACCACAGTGGAAGCTGGAGAACAAACCAAGGAGCTTCTTGTTCTCAGGGAATATCCACTGACGTGGGCAGAGATAGATCAATATATAAGATATTAAAGATGAGAACAAAAATGAAGTCAACTTACAATGGAGGCAGAGAGGCTTCTGTTTTCTACAAGATAGTTAAAGAAAATCTTTCGAACAATTAAGCACAAATGTGAAAGAAGCACAAAAGCAAGCCATGTGAATGTCCAGAAGTGAAGTGACTGGGGAGGAGGAGCAGCAAGTGCAAAAGTTCTGAGCCAAGGGTGAGCCTGGCGTGTCTGAGGTAGCGCTGTGAGGACAGGGTGAATGGAGTGAAGGCCTAACAGATGAAGAGCTCAAAAAATAGATGGCAGAGAACTGAGATTTTAGTCTGAGCAAAATGCATGACTGCTGAAGGGTTTTGTGCTAAGAAGACACACAATCTAACATTTTAGATGGACAATTCTGTGGCAGTTTTTTTTTTTTTTTTTTTAATAGTACCAGAGATTGAACTCAGGACGCTGTTCTTGTCAGGCAAGCGTTTATTCTACTGAGCTATCTCCCCAGTAACAATTCTGATTGTTGTTTAGATATTTTTAAAAAAACATGTAGGGAAAAATCTAGAAGTACTGACACAGCCTAAGCAGGAAATGATAGGGAACTGATCCAGGATGGTAGGAAAAGGCAGTGGGGTTGGTTTTGGGGAGTGAGGAGAAGAGGATTCAGCGGTGACACCAAGGTTCTGATAGAAAGTACTTGCTACTTAGTGGAATGTGAGGATTATGAAGAGAAAACCATGGTGCCTAGGGATCACAAGTTGAACTTTGGACTTGTGCATAGTAGGTAAGAAAAGGAAAGGAACACGGAGAGGCAGGACGATGAAGGGGTTGTGTGGGACCTGGGAGCTGCAATGGAAGCAGGAATCCTGTACTGCGGGTGAAACGCAGATGAGGAGAGAATCGGTCACATCATGGGGCACGGGGCCAGGTGGAGCACAGCAGTGTACAGTCAAAGGATGGATGTTCTCAAGGACATCATAAAGCAATGGTTCTGCAAACAACAGACCCAACATGCTCAGCTCCGCCATGCTGCAGCCGGCTCATGGGATGCTATGACAGTGCTCAAAAGATCTTGAATTTTCCTATCATTGCACCTACTTAAAAATGGAAAAGGAAATCAAAATAAAATATTTGGGTAAATTGGATAGAGTTAGGAGTGAGATGGGAAGGAAGAATTTGTACTCCCACTGCCCATTTTTAAAGATCAAACGCTTTCTCGTCAAGTAAAGATGCCATGTGACATAATATTTCTTTTTGTAACTAGAGATGCATCTGTCTATTACCCCAAGTGAGAAGCAGAAGTTGTTTTAGAAGATGATTGTATCACAAAATCCCAGACATCTCTGAGGTGAAAAGTATTTCTAGATATTCTTGGTGATCTTTCTTTGCAATGTCCTCAACACACTGAGGTTCCTCAAGACATAATATGGTTCTTCAGTCATGAGAAGAGGTCCTTTGAGCTAGTTCATTCCTAGTAGCATGTAAACAGGGAGCAGGCTTTGGATTCACTTTATCTCTAGGACTAGGTCACTGAGAGACCAGAGCAGATGCTCAAAATTGCAGCTGGTACAATCAGATTTCTACTGTGGTTTCTGTTCTGACTTCTGCTCAGCAATGTAGGAAAAAGGTGGCCATCAAGTGATCCGAACTGTAGTCCTGACTCTGTTGCTATTGTTACCACTCTAAATTATTTACCCTGCCTGGATTTCAGGTTTCTTATTCAGAGAGAGGTTTGGACTAGATCAATTCTGAAGTTCCTCGCAGTTAGAAAATTTTGTGGTTCCATGATTCGTCTTTACAAAAGTTCACTTTCTGGACATGAATATTGTTCTCAGATTTCTAGCTCAGGCTAGGGTGAAGCAGTAGCCTCTACAGCACAGCTTCCTCTGAATCACACTCCTTCTGCTTCCCTCGCATCCTCCTGGGCAGAGCTGAGGCACAAGGTGCTCCCATTAAATCCAGCCTGATGGACAAAGTCAGAAGTAAAGCACTATTGAGCGACAAAAAGGGAAGAGACAGGAGAAAAGTTCCTTAATGCAATAGTCCTTAATGAAACAAGAGGTGGGCCCTAGCTAAGAGTTGTAATTTTTCTGAAAAAAGCACTTTGTAAAGAGGTAGAAGGTGGGATGCTTTTTGTTTGCTATTGGAGAAAGGAGACAAAGAAATATGGAATAAATTGACAAGATATTTATACAAATCAAATGGACACGAGATAAATTTGCTCTCAAAAGAGTCTCTCTGCCCCTCTGTGTTCACTCTCTCCAATCCGCATTGCCACTTAACCTTTCCACTAGTGAAAAGCAGCTGGTTTCTGATTGGAACATCATTCTTCTAATTAGCGGCCAAGTACAGTCACAGGATTAGATAAAGAGATAGATGATGATCCATCATGATGAACCTTGTGAGGATCAGAAATACAATTTCCCACCAAAGAAATCAGGCAGAAAGAGTATCTCTTCTTTATACTTTCTTCATGATAGGCATGGTTATATCATTCTTTTCTGTTCTACAATTACAGGGTGATTTGGTGGTTATCCCATACTGAATATAATGTTTTCTTTTTCCCCCTGATACAGTTAGACTGGTAGGGATAGATATATTTAAAAAGCAAATTTAATGTTGCATCTGATCTATTGATCAATGCTGGAGGAAAAAGAACGGTTCAAATTTCCTTTGGATAGCAAAATTCTTCTAGATCTTTTTTTCTTAAAATCATAGTTGCAACCAGCAAATATGAGAATGCAAAGAAAGTCATCTCTGAATGAAGGCAAAGCTGCACTGTTGTGCCTGCCCTTCCTACTACCTAGCTAATGCTACTGCGGTGTTATTGCATTTGTATGGTTCACTGTGGTGATAAAAGAATTGCAGTAGTGAAGCCACAGGTAGAAGGAGGACACTGTCCTAGGAAATGGCTATCAATCTTTGGGATTACTGAGCTTCAGTTGGATGAGATTAGCACATCATTTCCAGTATGATCAATGGGGAAATGTAGGATGGTGTTGGGAAGAAGAGGTAGAAAAGAAGGAAAGCATTCTGGTGAAGGAAACACAGTAGAACGAAAACTAGTGCATCAATTTGCACACGGTAAGCATCCTAACTACAATATCATTGCTAAGGATGTCATTTATTAGTCAAGGAAGAAAACTGTAGCCCATTAAAACATCCACCTTAGCTTCTGAAGTGTTTCACTGATCACAATGCATTTTGTGAATGAGAATGTAATTTAAGGAGGCACATGTGACCATTAAGTAAAATCAATTTAAGTTAAGACAAAGCAATGTACTCACCACTCGTACAGAAGTGCATAAGCTCGTGAATGGTAGCTAAACGTTTGGTGCTGTTCCAAGGAGGGGGCAGAGGGAATTGAAGGAGTTCCCACAGTGGCAACTTGGACTGCATTTCTTGCTCAATTTGAACTGGGTCAAAATTCTTTTGTTCCTGACACAAAAGAGCAACATGACACAAGACATTAAAGTAAGATGTCAAGAGCCTTATGCATATGGAGGAGGCTAAACTCGATACCTTCACTTGCATTATTTGGGAGCAGGGGAAATCAGTGATAATTGAGGAAGACAAACTTGGTATTTTGCTGAAGGTCAAGAAAGCTAGTTCTCACTTTGCCAAAAGTGCCTGGTGCACGGAAATGATTGATCCTTCATTTGCTGTGACAAACTGCCAAAGCCTCATAGAGATTCATCTTTCCCTTCGGAGGCCCTTTTTCAGGCCTCCACTAGTTTCTCATAGCAGCACACATTTAAAGCAAAAGCTATAAGGTTTACATGCAAAACTAGTGGCAGTGGTTAATTGGGTCTCTATTGTTAGGCAAGTTTCCTTCGATGACATGATTTCTCCCCTATCCGTTTCTGTTTCCTGAGATCTTGCACTGTAAACAGCAATCCATTTTTTAAAACTAATTTTACTGGGAAAGAAATAGCAATGGGACAGTTTCAAACAGGTTAGTAGGACAGTTATAATAATTAATACATTGCATATTGTTTTCATAATAGTTATTCAAAGTACAAGATGCAGACATGATATCCTATCTAAACACTAATAGTACAAATCTTTCTTCTTTTTGAACTAAGAGAAAGTAGCTATTATATTTATCCTGTTTTGTTGTTAGTGATCTAGTTTATCATTAGAATGTTCTGACTCAGTGAATTACCAATGCCTGTTCTTACATCAGTTTTCCTTAGGGCGACCTGGTTACCTTTAGTGTGTACTTCTTATAGGCATGTGCATCATGGTAGTTCAGTAGGATAGGGCCTTTGGGCACTGTTTTGATTTCCCTTTCTTCCTCAGGTAAAAATACTTCACGAAGGTTCTATTTAAATTGAAATAACATTGATTTAAAGAGAGGATTGTATACATTTTAAAAGCATAAAGTCTCTGGCTGTCTCCTGCCACCTGACCTGTTTCTCCCTCTCTGAGAGGCAGAGGGAGGGCAGGATGGACACAATGTGCGTCGCGATCCTGTGGTCTAAGCCATCTTCCCTGGGCAGTGGCTCCAGCAGGCTGGGGGGGACAAGGTCTTCTTCAGTTGCCACAACCTATGGAGAAAAGCAGTTGAGAAGACTTGGTAGAATGATCAGCTTTTTATTGATAATTACACGTTGCCATTGTGCTTAGCAAGAAGGTAGTCCTTACTACGAAGATTCCAGAGATTGCTCTTAATGGCAGGAAAGAATCAAAGATGATGAAAGCAAAAGGGAAAATGTTTTCAGTGCATTACATATAATTTTAATATTTGTATTAAAATAGACAACACAAAATAAAAACGGCACATAATAAAACTCACTGTGGGAAAAGTCAGAATGACAATTTTATTTTATTTTTTAATTAATTTTGAGATAGAAATAACAATGAGACAGTTTCAGAACAGGTTAATAGGACAGTTACAATAATTAATACATTACATATTGTCTTCATAGTAGTTATTCATAGTAAAAGATGCAGACATGATGTCTTGTCTAAACACTATTAGTACAAACCTTTCTTCTCATTGAACTAAGAGAAAGTATCTGTATATATCTATCCTATTTTGTATATACAGTTATACATATATTATATATATATATATATATATATTCACTACAAAATGGTCCTTCATTTATATCCCCCAATTTTTATTTAGTTCTGAGAGATATTCCATTGCCATTCAAATATTGTAGGTGTGTGAATTCAGCAAAATAATCCAATATAGTCTAATAGTCCATAATTCTAGTGGGTTATCCGTAGGACTAGCAATTTCAGAAGTTGCTGACTTGAGGCTTTCACAGTTCAGCATATTAATATGGCTTTACTTTTTATACCTCATTTTTATACTTTCCTGCTGGATGGTTAAAACCAAGATGAAGCAAGTCATATATAATAAAAAATGTAACTTTTGTATCTGACAAGGTCAGTCAAATCCCCTCAGGATTTACCCTGAAACCCTGTACTGCAGTTTGTAGATCCTTTGTCAGTGTCAGCCATGTGGATGAGTCATGGGCATTGCTTGACCAATTTGCTCTCTGTGAAAGCCTGAGAGAATGTTTTCTCTCCATGTGACTCTCCTTAGGCACACTCTACATCATCAATCATTTTCCTCTGTGGCCCCATGATCTCCTTGATCAGAAAAATTGGGATACCACTGAGTTACAGGATGTTATAGTACAGGTTCCCTTATGTCCTGAATACTCACAGACCTTGAAAAGCTAGGGCCAAAATGTTGGCTATCCTTTTAGCGCTTCTTTTTCTCTAATTTTTGGTCTGAAAACTTAAGTTGTTAACCCTCCAGAAGAGAAGCTTAATGATATTATTACCGTATAATATAGGCTGTTGAGCTTAACATCACTGTCTGAATATCAAACATCTTAGACATAACATGGAAAAGGTATTTTCCATCAATTGTTGATATGCTAAACTTCAAATCCTACCGAATGTGAAAAAAAATTTAAAAATTGGTGGAAAAAATACAAATAAGAAATATATTTTTACACAGAAATTTAGAAATCTAACCATATACAACACTGTATCAGGACACTACTATGACATTTTTTCTTGTCTCTTGTTTTCATTTATTACATTTTTTTAAACAAACATTTACTTGAGAAAGAGTATTGCAGTAATTGATATGGCATTAGAAGCAGTATGCATTTAGAAGACCAGAATGACAGGCATTCCAAACATGGCCCTACTATTACACAATGCTATCCTCGGTGCAGTTGCCTAGTTCACAGCTATCAGCATGTATAGTTAGCACAATGACAATTTAATTTTTTTACAATTTTATTGAGGAACAAATAGCAATGAGACAGTTTCAAAACCGATTAGTAGGAGAGTTTCAATAATTAATACACTGCATATTGTTATCTTCTTAGTGATTATTCATAGTACAAGATGCAGACATGATATCCTGCCCAGACACTATTAGTACAAATCTTTCTTCTCATTGAATTAAGAGAAAGTAGCTGTATATCTATCCTATTTTGTACATACAGATAAAAAAGGTCATTCATTTGTATCTCCTTTTTTTTGTTTAGTTTTGTCAGAGAAAGGTATTCAATTTTCATTTTAATATTGTAGGTACATGAATACAGCAAAATAATCCAATATAGTCCAGTAGTCCATAATAGTAGTGGGTCATCTGCAAGACTGGCAATGTCAGAAGTTGTTGACCCTTTACAGCCCAGCATACCAATATAGCTTCACCCCTTATACCTCATTTTTTACCTTTCTGCTGAATGGTTAAGACAAAGATAAAGCAAGACCTATATAACAAGAAATGTAATTTTTTTATCTGACAAGGTCAGTCATAGGACTGTCCTGCCACAGTGCTATATATGGTTAGATTTCTAAATTTCTGTGTAAAAATATGTAATTGTTTATTCCTATTTTTAAAATACTTTTCATTTTTAAAAATTTTTTCTCTTCATATTCTGTAGAGACTTAAAATTTAACGTATCAATACTTGATGTAAAATACCTGCTCCATGTTGTATCTAAGATGTTTGATATTCAGACAGATAATGAAGTTAAACTCAACAGCCTATCTTGTAGGGTAATAATAATAAGCTTCTCTTCTGGAGGGTTAACAACCTAAGTTTAAAGACCAAAAACAAGAGAAAAAGAAGGGCTACAAGAACAGCCAACATTTTGGCCCTGGCCTTTCAAGGTCAGTGAGGACTCAGGACTTAGGAGAACCTGTACTATAACATCCTGTAACTCAGTTGTGTCCCAAATTTTCTGATCAAGATTATGAGGCCACAGAGCAATGTGATTGATGATGTAGAGTGTGCCTAAGGAGAGTCACATGGAGAGAAAACTTGTATCTGATAAGGTCAGTCAAGTTCCCTCAGGACTTATCATGAAACCCTGTCCCACACTTTGTAGATCTTTGTCAGTGTCAGCCATCTGGATGAGTTTAGCCATTGTTTGACCAATTTATTCTCTGTGAAAGCCTGAGAGAATGTTTTCTCTCCATGTGACTCTTCTTAGGCACATTCTACTTCATTGATCACTTTCCTGTGGCCCCATAATCTCCTTGATCAGAAAATTTGGGACATAACTGAGTTACATGATGTTATGGTATAGGTTCTCCTATGTCCTGAATCTTCACTGACATTGAAAGGCTAGGGCCAAAATGTTGGCTGTCCTTGCAGCCCTTCTTCTCTAACTTTTAGGCTACAAACTTAGGTTGTTAGCCCTCCAGAAAAGAAGCTTATTATTACCCTACAACATATTCAGTTGGGTTTAACCTATCTGTCTGAATATTAAACATCTGAGGCCTAGGATGGAACAGGTATTTTGCATCAAGTATTGACATGTTAAACTTTAAGTCCCTACAGAATATGAAGAAAAAAGTAAAAAACTAAAAAAACTAAAAAATATGAATAAACAATTATACATTTTTACACAGAAATTTAGAAATCTAACCATATACAGCACTGTAGCAGGACATTGTAGCAGCAGGCTGACAATTAAAAAAATATTTGTACTCTTTTTTAGAGTACAAGAGACAGTACTCATACACCTTTGGATAAAAACAAGTTTATTGAGTACCTAGGACAGCCTTATATACTAAGTTATTTAAGCCTCTGTATTTTTTGGGAGTATAGATAGTATTTTCCATTTTATAGAGGAAAAAACCTAGGGTGAGTGAAATTATATGACTGGTCCAATTCTAAACCTTCTGAGTAAATGAAGTTGGGTTCAGGCTAATTCCTATGTTTTTCTTTTAAGAAAAGAAAAATTGTTAAAATAAGTAGACCAAAAATATATGATAGTCTTTTTATGTGAATAAAACAAATTCTACTGGAAAAGAAAAACTGTTAAAATAAGGAGAACAAAAGTATATAATAGTTTTTTTTTTATGTGAATAAAACAAATTCTACTGGGGCGTGGGAGATGGCTCAGTAGAATAAGTGCTTCCCTGGCAAGCGCAAGGGCCTGAGTTCAATCTCTGGTTCTGGGAAAAAAAAAAAAAAAAGTCTAGAAAGATTAAATGCCTGTTTAATTGTACATGGCACACAAGGAAATAAGGTTGAAAATTAGTTAACCTTATTGAAAGGTTTTTCCCTTTATCATAAGTCTTAAAAATCATCCTTCTGGTTTAGTATCATTCAACTGAGTTTCTAAATCTTAGAAATAATGACATTGTGGACTAGATGTTCCCTCGTACAAGGACCGTCCTGTGTGCTACTGGGACAGTAGCACCCTTGGCCAGTGCATGTTGGATGCCAGCAGTACCCCTCTGGTGTGCCAGCCAGTCTCTAGATATTGCCACATGTTCCGCTGGAGGAAACAGAATTCCTGTTGAGAACCATTAGTATAGAAAGGCCAAATGGTTATATA